TTCAGAAATCCTCAAATAAATAACCATCTCAAATGTCATTCCTCATTCATATGTTTTGGTCTCTCCCCTTGAGGGATCATGGGTTGTACCGCTAAAGTGATGCCTCAGATGACACACACTCGGTGAGAGATGAAAACTTTTACTAGGTAAAAAATAATTTTCGTGTGTGTCAAATCCATACTTAAGTCTCATTACATCTATTTATAAGCCTGATGAATTAACCATTTCAGGACTAAACCTGAACTCCTTTTTCTTTTTTCCAGTTTTGGACAACCCATTACTGAGACAAGGATTGTTACAGAAGAAAAGATTTATTTTAGTTAATGCATCAACGAGGAGGAGGCAGGTCTGAACTGCCTCAAATCCTCCCCCTGGTCAACAGGGTTGGGGGTTTCTGAAGGAGAAATGAACATCACGTGGTACTTGGGGTAGAGCACAGGGCTCATGTTAGTACATAAGCTCATGGTCAAAGCATGGTAGATAAGCTCTCCCAGGGTCAGGATGTCAGTACTATGATGAGCCATGGTTAACACTGGTCCTTCTTTCAGTCTTGTAAGCAGGCTCAGCGGTCGCTGGGCACAATCAGTGGGGGAGCATTGCTTATCTCGTCTTCTTAGATGGTGTAAGGCTCTGTGGTTATCTCACGGCTACAAGGAGATTCCATCATTTCTGGGAAAGAAACTCAAATGGGAATGCTTCAGTACAACAGAAAGTTACAGAGTTCTGGTCTGTAAGCAAATCTTACTGGCCTGGGAACCTGACACAAACAAGAACTAAAAAAAAAAAAAACCTACAAAAAATATTTTCACACTTATGGATCTGGTTACAACTGTGGAAAATACCTAAAAAGCCAAAACCACAAACGAAGTAAAAATCATCAGCATGTTAGGAAAGGTCTCTGCCTTCTTCCCACCTGACTCCCCAAGGAGGAGGCAATGCCCAGCACAGAGCACATGCCAGGGACACCCCGCAGGGCAGGTGCTCAGCCTCTGCAGTGCTCTCCGCCTTCTGCAGTACCCTGCTTTGAAGAGACAGCTACCCTCAACTTCCTCACCCTGGGAAGACCTGCTATCTGAGTGCTTTGGGGAGTGGGAGGGAAGGAGGGCACGTTGATTTAACTCAGGAGTCAGGAGTCTGCAGCCACAGTGCAGGTGTGCACTGGCCACACTTCCAATCTAGCTTCAGCTGGTATAAAGTTCATCTTTTGATTTCTTTCTAACCCTGTGTAGTTATTATGCCCCCTTAAAATCCAAATCTACAATCCTATATCCCAGATAGAAATACTATTGTTATCTCCCAGTCTTTTTTACAAATCTTTTAAAATGTCTTCCTTACTATAGAAAATAAAGAAGTCTAGACATTTAAAGATTAAAAGTGAAAAATTACATCCTTATTTCTCATACAATAGGCACTCAATATTCTCTTCTGAAATAAATACTATTTTAACAATTAGCCACTCCTTTCATATTAAGTTTATTCTAATTCTAATAAAAGTATAAAGGACATAGTCTTAAAACTACTATTTACTGTCAAGCTAACCCATACAGACTCCTAAATCACATTAGACTAACAGAAATCAGTAGTTGGGCTATACTGACACCGATTCTATCTTCTTATCAGAAATAACAAAAGCTTTTGTAATAACAAGAATTCCTAATTTTATTTTTATGACAAAACTCCTATCTAGTGAAGACGCCAAGCAAGGCTGTGGTTTCTCTGGCTGTCTCCTTGCTTGTGAGCAAATGCAAGCATGAAGCACAGCTCATGGGTGGGGTGGGAAGGGGAAATGACATGCAAGGGGCTAGAAACACGTGGCACACGGATATGCAGGTGGGCAGAGGCCAGGTGGAGTCAGCACAGTAGCACAGGTCCACTGGGCCAGCTGGACTGAGGTGCAGTTGAACAATCCCCTGGAGGGAACTGCAGTGACAGATCAGCCCTGCAGCCCTGGCCTGGCATCTGGGCCAAGTCACTTCTACTCTGACCCCTTCTCCTCATCATTCCACAGCCAACTGCCAGCCACCAGCCAGCGCGGGGGAAACAAGAGGATTCACTCCTCTGACTGCTCTGCTGGTAACTGGATAAAGGCTCCCCTGTGACTTTCTGTTTGGCCTTTCACCCTGATGGCGCACCTGACATCTATCAAGGACCGAGGTCAACAAACACAAAGCACCAGGAAAGGCCAGAAGACACCTGCAGAGGGTAAGGGACAGCACGCCCTAGTGACCCAGAGCTCCTCTCCTCCCTCCCTGCTGTAAGGTCTGGCTGCTTCCTCCGTACGTCAGGATATCATACCAGAGAGAACAATAAATCTCTGAAAGACTACTTGACTAAACCAGACTTGCGTCTACAGAAAACTAGTCCTGTACTAAAGGAGCTTTTTCTTTTTTGGCCAGGGCTGGGTTAGAACCTGCCATCTCTGGCGTATAGGGCCGGCACCCTACTCCTTTTGAGCTACAGGCGCTGCCCTAAAAGAGCTTTTTTAAAACTGGAAAAGATGGGAACTCTGATGATGGAAGCCCCCACTCCTACACTCCTCCAATCTCAAGAACAATTGAAATAAGATTATAGCACAAACATGACACAACATGGAAGTTACATTTCCCCTGAGTACAGTGTAGTAATTTTGGTTCTCACATTTTCCCCTGAACATGGGCATTGACTCAGCAGTGGGCAAAGAAGAAAACTAATTCCACGGCTGAAGCTCTCCCTTCACATCTCCAATGCTCTGAGCTGTGGATTTACTAAATTACAACAGCCTGAAGTGCGGCAAGAACACACGACCTTTGTCAGGAGAGTAAAGGAATCCTGGACTGTAAGGTAGGAAGAGGGGCTCTGGACCCCCTCTGCCTGCTGGCGGTGAACCCATGCCACGCCACAGCACCCTCAGCCACCTCCCAGGGCTCCTTCACAGACTCTTCCTCTGACAACCTACCTTTAGTCCCAGGTTCTTCTAGCTCATCCTGCACTCCATGCCCAAATAAAACCCCTAAAATGTCAGTTTCATCATGTTCCTCGTTTGTTCCAAACCCTGATTTCATGTGGTGCCTACCAGGTAAGGAGAGGCTCCTTAACCTGTCAGTCAGGAGTTCTGAAGCTAATGGAGCATGGCCTCCTCACCCAGCTCTCCCTAACTGTGCAGGCTCACGCAGAAGACTGACCTGCCCACTCTCGCACATGCTACCTACCACTCCCGCCCACAACCCACCTTCCTTAAGGTGTTTTTGCCAATTACTTTTGTTCCAGGTAGATAAAATTCCACTGCTTCCACGATGCCCTCCACAACCACTTCTTTAACATACTCAAAGTTTTATGATAATGATGTTGGATCTTAACCACGTATTGTTGCATAGGTGTCTATCTTATTATGACCGAGGTAACAGACAACAAATTTTCCTCATCACTAACTCAGTAAATATTTTTCTAATGTAGTTGGTAATTTATTAAATAAATTAACTTCCAGGATTAAACACGCATGACAGCAAATCAAATTCATACTCCTTTAAAAAAACTGTTCCTATTTATTCCTTTACTTGTTTTTTTTTAACACATTCTTTTCGCCTACCACATGTCCGTGACTGTTAGGGAGTGGATACTATAGTAAAGAAGCTGCACAGGGTCAGTCCAACGGGGAATAGGCATCAAACTCCCACTGTTCTAATCCCAGTTGTGAAAGGGCCCTGCCTGAGGGGACAGAGGTGAGCAGGGTACACCACCAGGAAGCCACTAGAAATCATAGCATGAAAGAAACAGCAGCAGGGGAACAGCAGACGCACCGACCCCAGCTCAGGAAAGGCCTCTCTCCTTACTGAACCACTAGCCAGCTCACTCCCTGGTTTTCCTTCTCCCCCACCTCCCCACATCACTCTGCCCCAGCTGACCTCACGGTCTGTCCCCAGGCCCTTGTTTCCAAAGGACACTTAAACAGCCTTTTAAGAATCACACGTCCCTAGGCAATGGGGGTGGCAGGGTTTTAACTAATAGTCTATTTCTTTCCAGTTAATACTCAGGGTAACATAATTCTGGTGTAGAAGAAATACAAACCAAGATTCTTGACTACTATCAACTTAAAAATTATTTCTTAAAGCACAATAACAGTGTGCAACTCAGAATGCACTTCTCTCACACTGCTACTGAAGCTTTTCATATATTCCCGAAAGTTATGAAAACAGATAAAAATTTTAGTTGCTAAAGTGAAAATATTAGCAAAGCTAACTGAAATATCAGTAATTAAATACTGGCTACAAACAAATTTGTTCATTGAAAATATCTGAGTATGGCACAAAGCTAAAATTCATGCTGAGTAAACAACCGAGTATCACACAGTAGAAGCAGCTGACAAATAAATGACTGGAACAAGTCACAATATTTATTTCTTTTAAATGGAAGAAAAGATCTCTGTGGCTTTACACATCCTGCCTCAGACTGGTGGGCAACAGGATCAAAGCCTGAGTTCTGGAAGGGTGTGGTCTGGCAGGCAATCCCCAGCAGGGCCACAGACAGCTGAGGTGAAGAGCACAGCTGCTTAAGCTCCCCACCACCTGCTACAGGCACGCCTGGAGAAGGGAAGCAGAGATGTGCTTGTGTAGCATGGCCCCTGCCCACTCTTCCACACACTGCAGCCTGACCAGAATGTGCAGTACCCACCATAATAAAGTGACAGACCTAAGCCCATTCTCACCACGCAGCTGTCCTCTGTGCCAGAGCTTTCTTTTCCCACTGTGCCACTCATGTTTTGACCATGCTTTTCAGCTGTTTCCTCTGGAGCAAGGTCTCACTCACTCTAACCACATCTTCAGCGTGGGAGCTCATCGCTCACCTCGCTGGGCCCAGGGAATACACCAGTTTCATTCATCACACTGTTGTTCTCCACGAGAGCAGGATGGAGCCTGCACTGCACACAGAGGTGGGAGCGTTCCCACACGCCCAGCCCTGGCCAGCTACTGACTCATGTTAAAGGCATGGGGATGACAACACTCTCATGACCTGCCCTGCCCTACCTTGGCTGCGACAATGCTGAGGCCCATTCCGTTCTGTTTTTTTAAGGTCACTGTGATTATTTCAGGTTCTTTCCTCAGAGGTTGAGCCTAAAGGATGAAGAGAAATGTTTATTTTATAACTAAAATGGAAGTGCTTCAGTATGGTTAGCCAGCTCCTGACCCATTCAGTCCTACTCACGGCAGTAAACGGGAAAGCAAAGAGAAGGAGGAGAAAGGAAAGGTTAGAAGACAGCTACTACAGACACTCCTCCCGCACTAATCTCCTAACCAAACACTGATGCTCGTGACACAACTTTTGAAGATGAACCTGTTATAAAAGTTATTTAAATGCTATTTGAAGAACTTAGCTTATAAAACAAAAGTAAATGTTCATTATTAACATATTAGAAAGCCTAATAGGAAAGACAAAATTCAACTTTTACTTTATTACCTTTTGAAATAAATTAACCTTTTTACTCAAAGAAGAAATTTAAACTTATTTTAAACTAGCTTTAGGGAAGACAGCAAAAACCAGTTATAACAAAAATGACCTACTATCTGTGTCTCTTAGGAAAACGAGACCGTCGTTTTATTTTAAATAGCAATGACAAAGGAGCTATAAGGCTCTGGCAGCAACATGCAAAGCCGTGAAGTGAAGCCTGAGCAGCTTAGTCACCACAGAGAGGCAGGTGGGGTCTTGAGCAACTCATAAAATGAGAACGTGAAATTATTCACTGAAGTTACCTGCCATACAAAGGTCATTCCTCATACCAAAGAGTAAACACAATTAAGGAGGAAAAGGAATGGCACACCCACTAAAGGAGAGCCCAGCTAACTAAACACGCAGCATGCAGGGGCCCTACCGAGGAGTGGTCCTTACCCACAGGGCTCTCTAACTTATAAAGAAAGTAATGGAAGTCTGGGAAAGAGTATTTTAAGGAAAATGAATAAAATTAGGTAATGTCTTTTAAGAATTCAAGCTGTGAAATTAGGGGAATGTGAGAATAAAGTAGAAAGATGAAGAATTGATGATTCCATCTAAAAAGGTCTTGCTTTTCCATAAAATCTGGTAATTAAAATTTGCTCCTGTTATTTGGGATTTGACAAATAGCAGTAAGTATTAAGAGTATATTCACTTTATCAGTAGTTGAATGTGATCATATATTTGGTGTAACTGAGCAATCATCAATTCAATTTTTGGAGATGGCTATCAAATATGAAGTATGCTAGGAGGGCAAAATAAATAAATGACTTTGAATTATTGTTATAAAAATTTCCCTTTACCATGCATGAAGTTAAGAAATACTGGAATTTACCACTCTTTAAAAAAGATACAAAATATTAGTAAACAATTTAATATACAGGGTGACCATCAACTTTATGGCCATCCTGTATATTTTAAAGTATCTTTGGAGCATTTTTCTTATTTTTCTAATAAAATCTTTAAAAGCTATCATATTAGTATGTTTTTAAAATATAAATTAAAATTAAGACTGAGTATTACTGGGAGCATAAGTACTTTTTGTGAACAGTACCTTTGTTTATATAGTAACTGTATGCATGTGACTTGGGAAAAATATATATCTATATAAACAATAAAGATTCTTGAATAAAGTCCATATATAAAGGTGATTTAAAAATTTTCTTAACCCAGCAATGCTCAGTGTAAGCAAAGAAAGAATTTGCATTAAATTTCCAAATCCTAAGGAATACGTTTCATGTCACAGTCCATCTAGCTTTCTCAAAATACTTGCCAGTTCTGTGTTCTCACGCAGAAAGTGACATTCATAGTCTGCACCTTCAAAATATATGGTCCAAGTCCCTGGCGAACGTGTGTGAGGAATTAACCTGCAAAATCCTAAGGAGTAAACAAGCAAATTATAAAATTAGAAAGCATACCACGCCAAGACACGATTGTTAATGAGAAGGTAAATTATTGACTGCGTAACATCTAATGACAATGTTTATTTTCTTATTCTGTGCCTTTATTCTAAAAACTGAATCATCAGACATTTAAAAACACACATTTGTTTTGGTTCAAGAAAATTTCAACAACAAGCTGAAAAGTGAAATTATTTTCCCCATCCCCTGTGGTCCAAAACAACCTTTTTCTTACTTCTATAAGAAATTATTGAATTACCCTGTCATTACTTCCTTGCAGAACTGCTGATTCTGACAAACTGAGAGAGCCTCAGTAACATTCAGAACATCCATCTATTCAGCAAAGGGAGAGAAGAGGGAGGGTACCAGAGAACAGCTCCACACACAGGAGCTACCACCTACCATGTCAGGCCCTGGCTCACACTCAAAACAGAGACGAGGTGAGGGGTACAGTTCTGGAACCTCCTCTCATAACTTTTTGCCCCAATATCCTTACATGTTCAAATTCATTACAGTCCTTACAAATAAATTTCAACATCATTTTATGTAATATTTTCAAGAATATCTCTGATATTTCATCAAGGACAAATGACATCTTTGTAAAACTAAGCCTTACAATTCAACATAAATAAATACATTATTCTTCATTTAGTCAAATCTTATTTTGTGTTTTCCAGTTAAGTTTTTGACAAAACCGTATCTTGTAAGCCTGGCACAACTCTGATTTCTACAGAGCTGTCATCTTCCTCCCACTGCAGGCAAGGCCTGCTCGCCCGGAGCACCTCTGGCCAGGGCGCAGCTCTCTCCAGCAGTCTCACCTGGCTCTGATGACATGAGGACTGGCTTTGGCTGTCAGTTTCATGCACTACATACAGTGTTTTATTACCAAGGATAATTCTGACTATTATTTCTGGACAATGATGAGGTTGTTTGTGATACAGGGAAAAGAAAATTTGGTTAAAGGAAGGATATAACGTAATCTTAATTTTACTCTTTTTAAAAAAAAAATCACTGTTTTAATCTAGTTTCATTAAACTATAACCTACTCCTTGCTTCTCTTTCTCATGCTTTAGGAAATCACGAATTTATCATGGTTTTAGAATTTCAGCAACTATACATTATTTTCTTAATTTTTCAAATGTCAGATTTCTAAAATAAGTTCTAGACCATATGGCAAACAGAATTTTTGCTTTATTAGGCTAAGGAATGTGCCTCAGTCCAGGTATGAGTCCAGGCTGGTTATATAGTCTTCTCTCACAAAACTGTATTGTTATGAAAAAAAAAAAAACAACAAAGGAATACACTGACAGAACAAAGCAGTTGCTTAATCAGCTTGCAAAGAACTGGGTACGAAGAATTAAAACAATGATGTCATAAAAGAAAACATTCAATCCTTTGTCTTTTCAAGGCATGTGTGTTCGAGGCCACATATACCCTTATCAGCTAACACGTATGAAATAATGTGGTGCTGCCAAGATGATGATGAAATAGCACATATGTATAAAATTAACGGCTCAAAAGAGCCTATGGGGAAGTCACAAAGAAAACTTCACGTCAAGGTATCACTATGTCCGATTAGCACACACTCTTTGGTACATATTACATAACTGGCAGTTGTCCACACACTATAAATTATATAAATTTGCAAAATGCTAATAAATTAGTCTCACTACATGCTTATTTCCAAGGTATTAATTAAAAAATAGTTTCTGAGCACTGAGCATACAGCAGGCCCATGTAAGGAAGCACAGCCAGACCGGCCAAGGCTCCAGGAGCCCACAGTCAGTGGGAAGACAGGCAGCTGCTGCACTTGTAATGCACACGCCTGGTGCAACAACAGAAGCAAGAAAACAACACAAGAACCACTCCTAGGGAAGGCATGTGAACATGTGGGAAGATGCTGGTTTTCTAGATAAATGGATGCCTGATTACAATTTAAGAAAACAAAAGTATGTAAGTTCCATAGGTGTGGTCCCACCATTAACCCTCCCTCTATCGAACCACCTATGGAGCATATTGCAAGGGTACAAGTTAAATCTATCAAGTATTGAACGTAAATGGCTTAACACTGTGATTAAGTAAATGAGGTGAAAGCTCTGATAATTAGTAGGATGTAAGCACTCCAATTTGTACAAATAATCAACACACTGAATCCCAAAAGGCATAAATGTATTCATGATCTATGTATATATGACTTAATAAAAAAAAAAAAAGTAAGTTCGACAGCAGGAGCAGAGTCCTGACAAAGGTGATCACATGGATATATATGACATACAGCTCAGTAAGGATAATAATATCCACATCTGACCCCACATCTCCACAAACATTTCTCCACGTCAGGAGGACAGAGGCTTCCCCAGACAGCAGGGTGTACTCCAACACAGTGGACTGCCCTGTGGGGAGGATGATGAGTAAAATGCTCACTTCAACAGGGCCATAGCTCAGACTTGGGCATGATAAATGACATTTACCTCTTTGGCACAGAGGCTCTAAAAATTCTTGTAAACCATTTGGAATGTTTCTGACAACATCACAAGAATAACCATCTTCTGGCAAAAGAAAAGGGAGCTGCAGGTCAGGGTCCTCCTCCAGCTGCACCTCCCTCCCATCACTGCGGGCCAGCTCATCAGCAGTGTTCTCGGCAACAGCCACTACGTTTTCTATAAGATCCTGTTCAGAAAACAAACGTAAAATTACGAAGAGATGCTCAAAGACTAGTGCATGTGTGACCAACAGCTACTCACACCTGTGTGCAACTGGAGCACAGCTCCTCTGACACGCACACACATACACACATTAATGTACTCAAAATCAGTTTTCCAAAGCAAGAGCCCACATGCAGGGAACACATATTTTGCACATGAACCAAGACATTAATTATTAACTTTAAATAACTTCTAGCTTTAAGTAAAAAGAAACTACTCAATCATAAGTTTTTCTTCTTTTCCAAAGAGATCTTTTCTCACATAATTCTTCAATTATCAGATGTCAGTAATCATCTTTGTAGACGCTCTAATGACATACAGAGAAAAGCTCATGCAAGGTTAAATATAAAAAATAGGACAAAATATCTATGCAGTATTTTCTCCAGTTTGGAAATGTATCAGCATATAGAGGTTATTTCTAAATTTTAGGTTTATGGGTGATTTTTGTTTGAAAGCCTTTTCCTGACCAGCCCCCCCTCACAGGAAGGCTCACAAACTTCATGTGCACAGCTCAGTAAAGGGGCCCTCGGCTCACCCACCATCTCTGCCTACAACCAAGAGGCCGGACCCAGAACCTGAACAGCCACTCCCCCCACCATGTTCTCTCCTCTTTTCCCCAAGGGAGCAGCTCTCCAGGCTTCTGACACTGTCATTAGTCTGTTTTTGAAATTTCCACCGACGGACATACACTGTACATACTGGGCACATGGCTTCTTTGTGCTAACGATGCCATAATATGTATCCCAAATGTTGTGGCTGAATGCCACTCATTTCCTTCTCACTGCAGTGGGATACTCCCGTAGGTGACCACCGCTCACTACAGTGCAATACTCCTGTACGTGACTACCGCTCACTGCAGTGGGATACTCCTTTACCTGACTGCCACTCAGCTCACTGCAGTGGGATACTCC